AATCAATTAAATAACTSTAAAACCCATAATTAAAATTTAAAAATCTTTTCAGCCCATTTAAAGCCCATAATATTATCTAGGTATATGGGTTGAACTGCAAAGAGCAGTTTGGCCCATATAGCATTTATGCTGAATTAGGCTAAAGTAGTTTTAACAAATTAAAATTGAGTTTTACAGATGTGGGCCGAATTGCATCTTGCAATTAACCATAAACCCCTCGGCCCATGAAGGAAATTTTAGGGCTAAGAATAGCCCCATCAAACCACAAATTTGGTCCCACCAGTTTGCCGAATTGCATCTTGCAATTAACCATAAACCCCTCGGCCCATGAAGGAAATTTTAGGGCTAAGAATAGCCCCATCGAACCACAAATTTGGTCCCACCAGTTTGGTCCAATCTGGTTCAAATGGGCCTAGGGTTTGATGTTTAATTCAAGATCCAATTCAAGAAACATGATCTGAAAATAAAGAAATTGATACATGACAATCAAGAATCAATAAATAATAGCAAGAGGGTTGTTCATAAGGCTGTAACCCTGCAAAAGCAAAATTAGTTCGCATTTGCAGTTTCCAAAACTGCAAATTGCAGATCGTCGAACCCAAATTTGCAAAATTTTCTCCTTCGCGCTTCTAGTTTCGTCTTCAAATGAAATAAAATAGAAAACCTAATTTTTTCTATTAATATTACATCATATTTGAATTCCTATACATTCTGTCTAAAATTAAAAATAATAAAAATTAATTACAGACTAAGAATTAATAGAAAAAATGCAGATGCTCAGATTTCTTGCGCTGTAGAAAGATTTCGATCTCTTCTATTCGAACAACCCAAAATTCAAGAAATATAAATAGAACAATTCTAAATATATAATTGAATAATAAAGATTTATTTTCAGATCATTCGCCCAAAATTGGGAACTGATTTCCAAAAAAAACGCTAACTGTGCAAATCGGGTAGAACGGTTTCTACCGTTTTGTGCAGATCAAATCTGGCTAAATTTCAGTTCATGAATCAAACCATGGCTCTGGTACCACTAAGGGGATGCGAGATCCATCATATGGATGGTCGAACCCTGCAGGAAGGTTGGGTGAATTTTCAAAAATTTCTTTTCTCCCATTCGGGAATCACATTCCCTAATTTAGAAAACTGCATTTTCAAGGTTCATTCTTGAATCCAAAACCGGACCAGATCTGGAACCAAAAGGGAGGATAAGGATATACCTGATACAAAGTAACAGTAACTCCCAATGAACGTGTTCACGCCCAAGGAGAAGACCAAAACCCGCCTCCACTGAAGATGACATAGTGTGTGGTGAAGCAAGATCAGCAGGACGGATCTTCAGCAAGAACTGAAATTCTTCAGCAAAAATGAAACAAGGATTGGTGAGCACGACTTCAGATTGTTTCTTCAGCCAAGAAACAATATCAAGAACATTTCTTGATCAGATCCATAATTGGAAATCGAATTGGGTAGGGATGGCAAGAACATGAGAGAACTCTACAGATTGTTATGTATAAAACTGAGGAATTCGCCCCCTATTTATTGTCTTCTTTGGGTCGACCTCCTAATCTAATTAGGAGAGTTTCTTAATCCAAATATGATATTTGGATCTGGACTCTTAAATGGATAAGACTTATCTTATCCTTCAACTAATCCTAATCAGATTATAAATCAGATATTGCCCCTTTTAATTAACTAATTTAAGCCCAGTTTGAATTGGGATTTAGGCCCATTAAGCTTATGTGCTCACTTACTCCTTAACTTGCTGCCCAATTGGCTCTCTTTGTATGGCGTGTGACCCTTGCATCGATCTACACATCAACCACATGGGTTCAGCCTAGCCTTTGTTATAAGGCCTGGCTGAATTCACTATAGGAGACAGTGAACCCCTGAGTCCATTACCATGGGCTCTTAATGGGCCCAACATTTACACTAAATGGTTCTTGGATCCAACCACCTTATGAAAACCCAAGAACTGTGGGCAAATGCAAGATTAGCCCATCAGGTATTACCCTCAATGGTTTTACACTTAACTTTTCAGCTCATAATGATCAAACACTGTCCGACAAGAGAGGACCTCTCCCTCGCTTGCAAGGAATAGAGTTGCACTCTCTACTCACATGGATCCCAAGAATTAAAACCTTTTGCAAATATTTTGAAACCATATATATGTATGTATGTATGTATATCTCTATATAAATATATTTTGTAAAACAAATCTCAACGTTTGAAATCAACTGCCGACAAATTAGGTTTTTATTAGAGAGAGTGCATTCCCCGATCATTCACTTTGTCCGACAAATGGGCTATGATCACCCACTTAGATGAATTCTCAAACTATCCCAACATACCTAGGTTTTAACCCTCTCTAAGGATCTTATTGATTGTCATATCAAAGACAACCCAATCCGACACTTAGTGCAGTACCATAATCGAGTATAGGGGTCAGGTGTAACATTCCAGTTTTGCCCATCTATCTCCAAGGTGCAAGGCAATACTGGAATTTGTTCTGGTTTAGGGTTTCAAGAAAACCCATAGTGCATGTGCCTCAAGTCTCACCCTGATAGCTGAGACAAGCCACCCCAACCAACTTGGCGGCACATCAGTGTTAGCCTTGACAGGATAAATCTCTCCAGACCTATCCAATGGTTATGAATATTCTAAACTAACACGAATCTCATAAGTGTCCAATTTAAGGGTATTACACAAAAACACCCCACAATAACATGAATGAATTATATACTTTATTCATTTACAATAAATGTCAAAAGATACATCAATCTGATTGGAGCTAAGGGCATAACTGTCTAAGACTGGGCATCCAAGTGGGTATTGATGCTGTTGAGAATGGCACCGACCATGGGGATGGCAAAGTGGAGCTAGTACATGGCTGGGACATTCGGAGCTACGATAGACTGCATCTCCTCTCTCTCTTGATGCTGAGCCAAGTGAAGGCTAAAGCAAGTTGTAGGCACCGATAATGGGGCGAGGTGTAGGAGATAGGCAATAGAGTGTAAGGCAAAGTAGAGAAATGATAATAAGTGTAAAATTATTCGAATAATTATCAAAAGGGTAGTTTGGGGATTTAAAACTCTTGTAATAGCAAAATGAGAATCTTTTTTGCCAATGGAATGCTAATGTAAGGGTGTATTTGCCTAACGACGAAGTTTAGGGTGTCTTTGTTGCAAAAAAAGTGTAAGAAGTCTTTGTCTTTGAATTACACGTGGGTCTGTCCAAAACAAATACAGAATTTAAAGTGAATGATTGATGTGTACGTCGCATTCTGTGCACCTGTGGGTAGTGCACCCGGGAATGAGAGGTTAACACGTGTTAATCACTAATTAACGAAAGTTTTCTCCGTTATTATTAATTTGACTGGTTGAATCGGCTATTGTTGATTCTCCTCCGGTTGAACTGTCCATAAAGGACAAAAAATTATTTAAAGGATTTCTTTCAAGGATTTCATTCGAACCCCCTCAGTCCTCCCATTTCCTCCACTTCGCCGGTTTTCCCAATCCCACAAATTTGAACGAAGCACTTCGCCGGTTCTCCCAATCCCACAAATTTGAACGAAGAAGAGAAGAAGAAGAGTCCGAGAGCCTTCTCAGACTCTAAAGAGCTTCTAAACGCGCGAAAACAAGCATATTCGATGTGCAACCACGATATTCTTCTTACACTGTTAACTTTTTTATTTTATTTGGAGAGGTCTAGCACCAAGTTATTTGGCCCTTCCTAAAAGGGACTCGATCTGGTCACAGAACCATGGATTCACACTTCCTTGTTCACAACCCAAGTTTCAGACTAGAATCCAATGAACGGGGCATTGCTGGAATTCCCCTTCTTTACGCTTTTATTTAGAACCAGCCATTACTTCGAGAAGGTCGAAGTTAGATTGGCTATTAATAGATGTAAGCCTGAACCAAACCAGGGAATGCAATTGGAGCTAAAATGGTTTTAATCAAGGATGCAAGTGATGGATTGTAGTCATTCGAGTCCAGTTCCTTCAGGCCGAAATCCGATGAATGGGGTGATACTAGGGATCCCCTCTTCACACCTATGAATCGGTCCCTACGTTGGAGGGAAAATGGGCATTGTTGCTTACTTGGAGGGCTCCACGCGGGATTTGGTAGCTTTGTCTACCTCTGCATTTGGTAGATTTGTCTGGAGCTCTAGCGGACGGTAACTGCACAGCTTGGAGGTATCCCACAAAAAACCCCTGTTTCTGGTCGACGTGTCCTACCTGTTCGTCCTTCAGATCGGACCTACTATCGGGAGAAGATGAAGAAAAAGAATATGGAGAGTTGAAGAAGAAGAGAAGGAGGATACGTCGCCGCCACCGGAACTCTGTCGCAGTCGATGAAAGAGACGATGGGCAAGGGTTACTCTGTTGTATGGATAGGATTCAGTGGAGAGAAAGAGACGAAAGAACTGGAAGTAGAGTCGATGAAACTAGGAAGAAGGGGCTTTTTGATTGAACATTCGACCGGTTCGTGTTCACGCGAACCGGTTAGTTTCCCCGCGAACCAGACCAGACTGCGTTAACGTACAAACGCACGTTAACGTTAGGCGTATCGAAAGTATCGACGTTTCGATACGCCATTCGTGGGTGCACTCGTCCAATGCATCCACGGATGCACAGAATGCGAGCTCAATGATGTGAAGGATGAATTTGAAAAATAAATCAATTTTAGAAAAGAGATTGAAAAGTTTAGATTAACCATTAAAATTTAGAAAATAAATATTTTGATCAAAAATAATTTTATAAATATTTTAAACACCTCAGCCCAACCTATTGCAGCCCATCGACCACTAAGGCTAAGCCCATTAAAAGAAAAAAAAATGTTATATCAAAAATAAAAGATGCAATGAAGAAGGGCTGGGCCAAGTTGGGCTCGGGTCCATTCCCCTAGCCCTAGAGTGGGCACACGCCCGGGGATCTTGCCCAACTTTATTGGATGGGCCTCAATCCCATAACTCGCCCAATGATGGTCGATGGACAACGGCTTTGCCGTGTGGCGTGTGAGTGTGATGGTGTCTGTTTCCTGTAATTTCAATTGCAAATCAAATGTACAGAGATTGTCTAGTCTGGGAGACATGGGATCAGATGAGGCTAAGAGAGACCAGCTCCAGGTAAAAGACCGGCATATGTTAGGTCAACGCCAAGCCAATTTCCTCTACGACTACGAGCGAACTGATCTACCGACCGACTAGCCGGAATCCAAACTGCAAACTGCTGTTCGGTGGAAGAGACGATAGAGATTGTCCGACAGGAGAAAGTATATATTGATGGCAGCAGGAACTGCATGTCTGATAACGTCCATCAATGCTGAAGCCGCCCCGTCCAACGGTGTTCCCCGAAACCAAAACCCTTTGCCTCGTTTGTCCTTCTCAAGACCTTCTTGGGTTGTCAGAACCGAGGTAACAAGCTTCTTCTCCTTGTCTCAGATGCCCCAGTCTTGATTACTCTATGCGGTAAGTCCTGAGTTACTGGAAACTCTTTGGAATCTTGTTCTATGTTTTTAGTGGCTTTTAATGACTCAAATGGAAGAGGATTGGTGCAAAGGGAACGGTTTCCTTGCTTATCAAGTGAACAGCATTGAAAGTTCGCACTTGACATTGTTTTTAGTCTCTAAATCCCTTTTGGTCAAAGCACGATGGTTATTTAAAGCTCTGAACAGACCCTCTGTCAGAGTGTTTGGCATGGTCCCGTCTTATTTTGGTTTTCACTTTTCAGCCTTAGTATTACAGTCATGGTTCTCATTCAATTCCACATTCATAACAAGCTAAAACATGTGCATGGTGTGAACATCCATGTAGACTATTCTAAGACATAAAAACCTAACAAGAATCACAAGAACCATCTCTTTCTGTATATTTGTAATCAATTTTTTCTTTTCTTTCTATATTTTCACACCCTTATATTGGGCCCTTAATGGGATTTATTTTAGTTGCATTGCATCTATAGTTCCGAATTTTGTCCAATGGGATTTATTTTTTATTTGAACATTCTGTTAAAGCATTTTTTATTGATATGATGGTTGATGGCTTCTGATGCAACAATTTTGTTCCAAATGCAGTCATGTAAACTATCAATAAGTAAAAAAATGTAGTCATGTAAACTCTGTTTGATTTGTAGACCAAAATTTTGGTTGATATGATTCTCTCCTTTTTTATCCCTTCACATGTATTCAATCATGTGCATATTTGCTCCTTACCTAACATGTGTGCATATAAGGCTCAGTTTGGGAAGAGTACAAATACAAATATGTATAGTGCAAAACCTTGTATTCTTTATTTCTAAACCTGTATTTGCACTGCATGTTTGTATTTGTACTCTTCCCAAACTAAGCCTAAATACATATGATAAACTCAAAAACTACTCAAGGATGTTGAACCCTGTAAATACTGGGATAGAATGCTCTCTCTAAGAACATGTAAGTTAATGCATCATGCTATTGTCATTCACTTCTGGCAGAGTTTGAATACCCTAGTACCCTACTGCAAATCATCCATTGTTTGAATATCTTCCTCAGTAAACTTAGGGTACCCATTTTTATTTTTGGAAAAAGGTAATGTAATATTTATTGAAACAAAAGCAGCACATACAAGCTGAGATCAGTCCCAGAAAGGCAGACTGATCAACTCAGAAATTACATACCCCACCAAGAACTAGAATGGAAAGCAACAGACAAATTACAATTTCTAAACTCCTCAGGAACTGACACCCAAGAGATTAACTTGCCCACAGCTTTCTGGATTAAATCTTCTGGACTTAAGGCCTTATTACAGAAAAGCCTACTATTCCTCTCAGACCAGATGGACCATAAGACAGCACTAAGAATAAATTATTGAAAATTAAGTATCAAATTCCGGTCAACCTATTAAAACGATACATATTAATTTTACATGTTTAGGGGTTCACCATGGGTACAGGTTAGTCGTTTTACAGGAGAAAATAAATTATTGAAAATGTCACTTCTGGTCCAGTGTTAGTGGACAAAATCTTATGCATTTAACCAGTCACAACTTTGGAATATCTTTTTAGGTAACAAGATATTATTCAAAATAATGTTTCTTGGCTAGCTAATATTAGGGATGCTAGTAAACAACGCTTTATGCAACTCTTGAAGCTTTTTGAGAGCTGGTTAAGTACTAATATAGTATTAAACAAATAGATCTATGTACAATAAGCAACTGTATATTTGGAATTTACAAAAACTTCTGTAGCATATCTTGATTAGTTACAAAATAAAATCAGTTAAAAAAAGAGCTGTATGATCTTCCTTTGAATAATTTATGCATGGCTTCCCATCCCATGATATAATCATTCCCACACTTTTTTTAGCAACCATAATCTCCTCTAAAAGTCTGTTTTCAAAGATGCACACATTTCCTTCTCCAAAAATTGCCCACAAGACTGCAGCAGGAACCATTTTCCACAAAAGCTTCCCACCTCTACTCATTCCCCCCTCCTCTGGCGGTCTGCTATGCCTTGAGAAGCTCCTTAACAGATCAACAGACCTGCCATCTGTTCCATAATATGATATACTTATTTGCAATGAATAAAGATGGTGAACAGATGCCAAACTGCCATTACTGAAAATGGAATTCGGATTTCTCCAGTCAATTCTCTTTTTAACAGGTTATCAGCAGTAAGACATTTATTATGCATTACCACACAAAGGAGAAAATAAATCCTTGGGACTTGAGAGCAATGCTGCTCTTTTTTTTTTTTTTTTTTTTTTTTTGTGAAAAGGTAACACTATTGTATTGATAGAACCAAAAAAGTATACATAAAATCTTGCTTTTTATATACTACACATATGCTGTCCTCAAAACCCGTTTACATCTTCCATTACATTATGCAGTCGAATGTCCGGAAAGAAGAAAAGAACAAGCCATATCCACCTTGTGTTGTATGCAGAGGAAGTGGGAGAGTGAAATGCTGTCATTGCCAAGGAAGAGGTCTCTTTCTCGTTCTCTCTCTCTCATACACACACGGATGCACACAAGAACTGACACAGGCACATGTATGGATAAGTGCACATGCCACATGTGCATGCACACATACACAATTTAAACTATCAACATTTTGTGATCCTTGCAATCCACACAACAATTGATATGTTTCTCCTATTAAGATACAGGTCAGACACTCCTTGTTATTCTGAATTCTTCTGTCTCTGTTTTGTTCTTTGAGGATTTATTTTGGGAGGCTGTTTGATGTTGGTTGGGAGATCTTCTCCTAGGTGAATATTTACATAATTTTGAGGGGGTTAAATTGTTAGGGAGCTCTCATTTGGGTGGGTTTGGTTGAAGGTTGGATCCTGTTCTGAGTAATTTCTTATCACCAGCCTTTGTATTCTCTTTTTGTTTTTTACATATATTCATTTATTATAAGAAAGAACATTTCTGATAGCATCTTAATTCTTTGCTAAACACAAAAATATGCTATTACCTAATAGCTATCCAGGGTCTTGGGAGAGGTGCACTGGATATAGTCATACGGACCTAACCTCTAGCAATTTTTGCATGAAGTGGCCAATCTCAGACTCCAAACTGCATTCTCATGCTTGTTCAGCCCAAGATAACATTTTTTTTTGAAATGGAAAGAGCAATTCTATTAAATGAGCAAGAAAGAGTACAAAGAGATATCAACCAAAGAAATTACTATCAGGAATCTCTTACCCAAGATACCATTTTTTTTTGAAATGGAAAGAGCAATTCTATTAAATGAGCAAGAAAGAGTACAAAGAGATATCAACCAAAGAAATTACTATCAGGAATCTATTAACAAATTATCATCTCTATATCTATCAAAAAAAAAAAAAAAATCATCTCTAATGATCCTTCGCCAATGGGAACAAAAGCTTCAGATGGTGAAATCCGATAGACCTGTTCATGGGTTGGGCCGTGTTGGGCTTTCACTTGTTATCTGCGCAATATATTGAGGTCCGAGACCGAGCCTGACCCGACCATCGGGCCTAAATCGTAAGCCCAAGCCTGGCCCTGATAAAAGCCCGAGGCTCGAGCCCGAGCCTAAAGCCCGAGAAATGATTTGAGAGAGTTACATTTCCAATCCAGAGATTGCTGATTTGCCGCAGGAAGGATCGGCCATCGACGAACTGGAGATGGAGTTCACTAGTTGTTGCTTGGCTTGCCGTTGTAGATGTCGCTGGCCGTTGTTGGGGATGCCACTACTCTAGAGTCTGGACCCAAAGCTCAGAGAAATGGAGATGTTGTTGAGTATTTGGAGTCAGAGCTCAGAGTTGGTTGTCAGCTTGCTATTGTAGTTGCCGCCAACCATTATTGGGGACGCTACTACTTTGGACTCTGGAGTCTGGACTCAAAGCTTAGAGAAATGGGGACAGCGGGAGGCTGCTGAGTACTCGGAGTCAGAGCTCGGAGAGATGTCGTTGCCGGCTCGCTGCCTATAGTATAGAAGATAGATAAACTACTGCCGGTTGTCGCTGTGAAAGGGAAGTTTCAGTTCATTCGAATAAAACAGGGATGAGGAAGAGTGAAAGACTATCGATTCAAACGAGCTAGGGTTGGAAAAAATATTATTATATTTTTAATGATATATATTAGTATTTAAATTACTGTTGGGCCCCGAAATTAAGTCGAGCTTAGATAATAGGGCCCGGGCCCAGGCCCACAGGCCTAATAATATGTCCAAGCCCGCCACAGCTCATCCGGGCCGGGCTGTCGGGCTACCTGGCCCATGAACAGGTCTACCGATAGGTCCTTATATAACATAGACCAATGATATAACAGTCTCTCTGACTTACCAACTACTTCTTCTGTAGATGAATTCTTGCCACTAAAAATYTGATCATTGCAATTAGACCACATAACCCAACTGTTTTGGAATGGTAGAATATTGATATGTTTCATTCTATTGCCAATGGGCATATTTATACAGTAAGTTGCTGCAATAAATAGAAAGAAAGAAAAATAGAAAGAAAGAAAAATAGAAAGAAAAGAAAATAGAAAGAAGAAAAAATAGAAAGAAGAGAAAATAGAAAGTACAAAAATAGAAAGAAAGAAATAGAAAGAAA